TTTACAGATGAAAAAGCAGAAGCCCAGAGAAGTTAGGGAACTAGTCCAACACCACAAAGCTAGTGACAGGAAGGAGGCAGGTTTCTGACCTGGGAGGCCAGCTGCAGAGGCCACACACCGGGCACAATGCGTCCTGATGCTCCTTGGGGGTTTGGAGAAATGCATCGGCCGCAGCCTCGGCCAAGGAGGAGCGCCGTCACCTTGTGTTTGTGCTCAGAGGTCTCACTGTCAGGCCTGTCCCTGGAGCCCCCTGGGCTGGGAGTGGAGGTTAGACCCCAGGGGCTGGCTCAGACTGGGGGCTGGGGTGGGAGGGGAGCGCGTGGAAGAGGCTTCAGGAGCCCCCGCTGCACCCGGCACCTGCTCTGAGTGAGGAATCCAAGCACCGGTCCTTCTCCCCACCTCGCTCCGGTCCAGAGGGGAGGCAACCCCTGGCCTAGCAAACCGAAGCTGGGGAGCCCCACTGCCCCAGCTCCTCCTCCCTGAGGTATGACCTTGAGCAAGCTCCTTCATTCTCAGTGCCTCGCCTGAAAACGGAGGAAATGAAACAATCCTACATCATCATGACTCTGGGCGTTTCTTCCCTTGAGCACTGAGCAAAGAGCCTGAGCGAAGCGCCTGTGTGTTGACTAGCACACAGCAGGGGATCAAGAGTAATAATGTTTCTGGGGCGCCTGGGTGGCTCAGTCGGTTAAGCAACTGCCTTCGGCTCAGGTCGTGATCCTAGAGTCCCGGGATCGAGTCCCGCATCGGGCTCCCTGCTCGGCGGGGCGTCTGCTTCTCCCTCTGACCCTCTTCCCTCTCGTGCTCTCTGTCTCTCATTCTCTCTCTCTCAAATAAATAAATAAAATCTTAAAAACAAAAAGAGTAATAATGTTTCTGTTACCAGTGCTGTTCTTGTTGCTGCTTGGAGAGTGGTTGCCAAAGCAGAGTGTTTTCGCCCCGGGGACGCAGGAAGCAAACCTCAAGTCTTCTATTGGCGCGTATTTTTAATCTCGTCCTTTCCTGATTTAACTGTGCATGTACAATAGTGTGTCCACAACCAGTAAACACGTAGAGTGAGTGAGTGCTCAAAAACGTTTCCATGAAAACCTTCGAGGACGTCTGGATTAGTGCCTGCTACCTAGCCATGTGAATGGAGGGGCGGGGAGCAGACCCCCATGTTTGCTCAGGTTGGCCGCATGTTGTCTCCGGACTCCGAGGTCCATTTTTCCAAGAACGCTGGTATTAGTTGTTTTGTGTGGGTGAGTTTGGGAAGCAAAGTGTCCAAATGGCCACACAGGAAAATTAGCAGATTCGGGGATTTGGCAAGGTTTGGAGTGAGATCATTAGAAACAAAAGAGACTCTCCACCTTTCCTTATTAACTCCCAGATTACCTCCGGACACTCACAGTTCCCCTGGCTTCTTCTCTTATTTTCTCCTCTGGCCTACTCTGCCCAAACAGGCCCAGGGATCTTTCCAGAACTGAAAATCCACTCGGTCACTCCCCAGGTAGAGCCTTCAGGGGCCCATCCCCCTGACCAAAACCCAAGCTGCTGGTGACCTGCAGGGCCCTCCCTCCGCCCTGCCCCTGCTCACCACCCCGCAGTGCCCAGTGTTACCCCACTCCATGCCCTCAGGGGTCCCCCATCCCGGGCTCCTTCCCTCTCGACCTTCACGAGTTGGTGTAAACACAAGGCCTCCTGAGAAAAGCCTCCCCCCCGCTCTATCTCTTTTATCCTCTTTTTAACTTTTTAACTTACAAAGCATTTTCTCATACTTCACCTCATTTAATTCTCCCAAGAACCCAGTGAGTAGATATCATCATCCTTTTTGTACAGAAGGAAAGCATTCCAAGCAGTGCCAGGCCCAGCTTCGTTCGGCCAGCGAGCAAGCCGCCCAGCAGGCCCTCTGATGTGAATACCGCCCTCCCCACAGTAGGCCACACTGGTGAGCGAGGTGCGGAGTCCTGTCATGGTTCTACAGCGTGATACTGCGGGTGAACACATTCCTCTTGTCCTTGGTTCTGCTTCTGGAAATTAAGATGGGGGCCTTTGCAGCTTCCAGGAATACAAATGAAATTTCCAGTGGTTGTTTTGGTTCAGCACATTGCAGTTTGAAATGTGTAGGTTGGCACTAATGTTGCTTGTGTTTATTTATGTACTACCTAGTGCCTACGTATAAAAAGCTTCCCGAGAATGTGCAGCCCCGATTTCTAGAAGACGAAGGCCTTTATGCTGGGGCAAGACCCGAGGTGCCCCGCGCCTGTCAGAACATCATGGAGAACAGGCTGCTGACGCAGGAGCCCGTAAGCGCGCAGCCCCGTCCCACCAGTAGCCCCTGGGCATCTCTGGGTCAGAGCTGCTTCTTCCTGTCCCGGGCAGTCAGCACACCCTCAGGCTCATTTCCTCCTGTCTACAGACAGTGGTTCAATTTTTTTTTTTTTTTTTTTAATTTGTCTCTCAGTATGTTTGGTGATCCTCAAACCACATACCCTCTCCCCTGCTCAAAGGCCGTCTTCTGCTGGCCGGGCTTGGGATTCTCCTGCTGAGTCAGATGTTGGGGACTTTTTCACAATTCACGGAAATGCTTAACTGTCCACAGATAGAATGTTCTCAGTTGTATTTCTCCTATCGTTTTTTTCCCCTAATTTTTAATGAATAGAAAATACACTTTTTTAAGCACTCTGTAAGCTTTTTGTTATGCTTTTTTTGGAGGGGAGTGAGGACTATAACTTAACTTCATTGTGGGGGCGTTAGTGAAGACTCAGTTGCTGATGGAAATGAAGCTTTTAAAGATCTGTCGGGACAAGGGAAGGTGCATGAGATGTGTGTGTCCAGCCAGAGTTTTCTTGCAGATGTTGTTTATTTTGTAAACCATTTTCTATCCAGTTACAAGAAAATGGTGTTCTTCCCTCTGCTTGATCTGCAGGGAAGAAAGTGGTTTGGAGATGACGGGAAAATCCTAGCACTGCCAAACCCCACCAAGGGGTTTCCTTCGAGACCACCAGTGCTGACACGGGAGCAAGACATTAAGGCAGAACTTGAAACACTGTATAAAAAGGTAAGCCCACCTCCCCATTTTTGATGCATGAAGGTGCTTGAAAGTGCTTTGCTCTTTGAATAGCTTGGGGTACTAAATTCATAACATTCTACTTTGGTTGTTGTTGGTTTTTTTTAAGTTCACTACCTTACACATAAAGAACAAACAGCAGGTGTATTATATAAGAGCGAGTCGGCTATGCTCACCTAATCCTTTCTTAAAGAAGGCCTCGTTCCCAGGTAGGAATGGCTAAGTCAGTGACTTTATTTGCATATCCAAGTTAGCTGGCCTTATTTTTCTTCTTTGTTCTCTGCGTTCTCACAGATGCTGCAAGATTATTTCCCACTCATTGTCTCTTTATTATATAACTGGAGATTTTTCTCTCTTTTCTTAAAGATTTATTTATTTATTTTGAGAGCGAGTACCAGCAGGGGGAGGGGCAGAGAGAAAGGGAGAGAGAGAGAAGCTCAACCAGACTCCCCACTGAGCATGGAGCCTGAGGGGGCTCGATCCTACAGCCCTGAGATCATGACCTGAGCCAAAATCAAGAGTCGGCTGCCTAACTGACAGAGCCACCCAGGCTCCCCCAACTGGAGGTTTTCTATCCTTGCAAATCCTTTTCTTTTTTTTT